GAACTTGATGATTATTAAGATTGAATGTTGATAAATTATCAGGATTCGATCTTGATAACTTCCAAACGATATTATTAAGATTCATCCGGTAACGTTATTATTTGAATATAGTTAATAACCTGATAAAAAGTTGATAGCGTTATTAAGATTTATCGGTATTATGATCGGATCTCAATAATTTCTCAAAATTATTAGGATGGTTATTAAGATACGAATATGGCACAGCTATATTCAAAGTAATAAGTATTTCGAAATAGAGAAAGAGAGAGAGAGAGAGAGAGATATTGGAATTGGAATCTCATTATTTTAAAATCGATTCTCGTATGGAAAATTGAAATAAACTGTCGTCGTCAGTTTGGCAGTTTCCGTTTGATTGAAAGTGCAATTATTTGCCATGGACGCCACGTGTTTGTTTGACTATTTTCGCACGACTTTTGAATCAATGGAACGCTTGAAATGGCATAAAACCATCAACAGAGAAAAACCAACAGTCAAATGTGTTTCATGAGTATTTTCAGTATATTTTGAGTGTAGTTCCAGTTGTTTTTCTTTCTTTCTTGATATTTTGGCACTGGTTTGCGGTGCGCGCTTGATAACGTCCATGGTCGTGTGATTGTGTTCTATTTTTGTTCATTTGTTCTGCTTGTTTTTTTTTAAATTATAAAAAAATGTCCAATATATAATGTATATTACAGGAAAAAGTTTTCGGTATAAATGTTGGCACAGATAATATTTAGAATATAATAATTCGATTGACTTTACAAATATTCAGTAATAGTGTTTATGTAAAATAGGATAGTTTAATTAATTTTTTTTTTTGGATAAATTTACTGCAATCAAAACATCGAAACACGACAACAACATTTAGTTTCAGTTCAGTCAGTTTTATGCAAAAAGTCAATATGCACAGACACATTGGCGTCCGGTGCGAAATGTCAAGTGTGTACATTCAACAAGCGCAATCGAATCTCTCTGCTGTCTGAATCAACAGTTTTCGATGTGCGATGCGTGCTCGCACATGGATTCGTTATCATTTCGCCCGTTTCACTCACTTGATATTTGTCACACGGCTGCCATTGTAAAATAGTAGCAATAAGTCGTTTATTTATTTTTTTGGTGGGTGTAAGGTATACATAAATTGAAAAGGAAACGAAACAAACATTTAGACAAATAGATAACGCAATAAACGTACACACTGCTTCATATTTTGCTGAATGTTCGAATCAAATAAAGGAAATGAAGAGTTTTGGTTTCTTTCCATTTAAAAAAAAAACGTTGAAAGAGAGAACGAATAATGATCAAGGATGCACACATTTTGCACACCGATTTATTGATGTTTTTTTTCATTATCAGAGCAAACACATTTAGAGAAGACGCAAGATACTCACAACAACTGATTGAAAAGAAAATTTAATGAAAATAAAACAGGAACGGTGTGTGAGACACAGAGAGATAAAACAATAAATGGATACATATTATTATTATTTTGCTTCATTTGATAATAATGCAACCGATAGAACTCTTGTCGTCTTATATATATATATAGAAGTCAACGGGATTTTACCGAAACAGAAAGATAGAAGGAAAGAGAAGAAATAGATTTGTTTTGATCATTTTGTCGCGATTGAAAACGCAAGGATTTGATGTACGATCAAAATTATGGTATGAGAACGGAAAACAAAGAGCACTTTTGTTTACCACATACTGATTTCAGGCAATGTACTTAGGTAGTCACAAAGACAAAACGAACGGTCAATATAATAACATATTCGAATACCTTTCTCTGACATAATAAAAACAAACAAACAAAAACTGTCTCCTCAATTGATATACATTTCAAACTAATACAAAAACAAAAATTAGTGCTGATTTCATGTTTGTTCGGATGTGTGAGATAAACAAATGAAGGACGATTCCGTTTGTACTTACCTCAGCATAATGCTCTTCATTTTGTTGCAATAGATCAACGCAGAGCTCCGTCAAATGGATTAAGTCTTCAAGTTTCTTCGAAGGTGGCACAATGACATCGCCGCGTAAATCTTCTACAAATTCCCAAAGTAAGTGGCACCGATTGGAATAAGCAGAGAACGAGAAAGAGACACATACACAGAGAAAGAGATAGTGATAAAGAGTCATAAATCTCGAATAAGATATAATTTTTCCAAGTTTTCTTTCTTATCTTTCTTTCACTTGCTTCAACGAGTGAATGTATGAAATGATGAAAATTGAGCTTTAGCCGACGGAAACGTACCTTCGATTTTTGCTTCGGACGATAGCCGTGTGTAGTTAACTAATGCAGCAGTCTCTAAGCTCTTTTTAATCATAGAACGCACTTCTTCTGGCGGTACCGGTGTCACAATGTCTTTCATCAGAACACGTTCTAACAGTGATAGTGTGGCTTTCAACGAACCCTCGGGCCGACCAAATGGAAAACAGTACCTGAAATCACATGTTTGATTTGAATTTATAGATTTTTTTTCGAAATCGATCTTAGACTTTGAATTCGATTAGACGTAAATAATTATTATGATACTAGTAGATAATAAAGTTTTGTTTTCCAAACGCTTTCATTGCGAAAATCCTTCGTAAATGTATGAATTTACTGTTCATAGGAGCAGCGCTATTTACTTAAACTGAGAGAAATATGCGAGGCATGTGTACCTAAAATTGGTGATCTGATACTCAAGTAGAACGCGTAAACGTTCTTTGATCTTTTGGAAGCGTTCTTTTTCTTCGTGTGTTATGCTGCCGACACCATCTGGACGATTACCATGAACGTGACTGGCACAGAAGGCAAATGAATAGTGTATTAGCGTTGGATCGATCATTATGTGCTTTTCGGCACGATCGAGGAGATCAGCCAAGTAGCACAAATGTCGATAACAGCCTCGCACCCCGTATCGAGCACAGTATTCGTCGAGCACAAACAGTTGACCAGGACTAAACCAACCCAACGATGCATACGGATCGTTCAATCGATAATCCAATGTGAGATTTTGCAGAATGCGAAACAGATTCCCATGATCAAATGTGCATGGATCGGCGCTGATAAAGTCTTCCATGCCGTGTTTGCGTGCTTTGTCTGCGTCACCTTGAATTTTCGATATGGTTGAGTTTTTGTCCTGAGTCAACGGTGGTGTTGGTTTGAGCGATTGTCCCGTTGCACGGTACATTGCCATCACCCATAGGCTGCACTCATTTTCGTCATCACATGCAAATAAAATGCTATCGCCATCGCCGCGCACCGCATTGAAGAAATATCGGCCACCCTCCAAGTCCATTCCAACCATTAGATTGGCTACAGAAAAAGAAAACAACGAAAAAGAAATGAAGAGAAAAATAAAACAGAATAGAAATGAACCAATTGAGCTCGCTTCCTCTGTATGATGTCATTTCGATGCAGCAGAAATTATGCAAATCGGATTTACCGCTGGCTGGTTCAATGTAATCCACCGTAAAACCATCCATACTTGTCATTTCCGACGGTTCAGACTTCTTCTCTTTATAACTGCACATGGCAAATGTGTACTGTGACACTTGAACGAGTACAAAGTATCGCTTTTTCCATTTCTTCCACACCGATTTGCCTATCGCATATAAATGACCGCAGTGCTTCATATTCAACGGTTTGTCCATGCGACACGCAATCTTTATACGTAGATCTTGGTCCGGGTGATTTTTAACAACAGTCAGTCGATGCCATTCGGGTGCCTGCAACGAATCACAATTTTTCGTTTTTTGGGTTTATTAGAAACATTCAATTTTTTCCCCTCAAATTATCATGATTTCATGAAGGAAACACGAAAAGTTTCGCTTACTTTTGATGAGAGTGGCGTTGGTCGTAGAGCAATTTTGCCAATTTCTTTATCTTCGAGCGCAAGCATGCCCGGATTTTCCGTATACAGTTTCACTTTAACGACAGGCAACGGATGTGTTGTCGTAAAATCACCTTGTGTGTCCCACATTGGTTTGGATGCTTCAGCCTGATCAGTTTGCAGCTTTTCGCCATTTTCTACTTCCATGGTGCAGTAAACAATTCGATTTGGTGCTAGCGATTTCAAGCCTTTCACTTCCATGACCACCACTTCCAGCTGAAATGTTAGCACGACATCCATTTTTGTGAGTGTATTTTGGTCACCATCCGTCGAATCACCGTCACGTGCCAATGAACCTTGTGACCTTAGAATCATTTTTCTACGAAATAACAGGGAAAGAAAGCAACAAAAAGCGGTTCGGCATCAGTTTACCATGAACTTTCTCTCTATGTGTGTGTTGATTTGCTTTGATTCAACTTACAGAAACGATGGTGTACTGTGATTGTAGCGCTTGAGCTTTTGCATGCCGAATTTCGAATCTAATGATCCCTTTGAAACCGGTAACGATTCTAAGTTGGCCATCAACAAGTTAATCGATGCTTTTAACTCTTCAATGTACAGCGACTCCATTTCTTTGAGAACAAATTTCGGCATCAATTTTCGATTCTTTTCCATTTCACCGACACGTTGCATTCGTCCATCGAGCTCACGACGTATAGCCGCTGCTTGTTCATCAGCTGAATCCAACTGTATAAAAATAGACGGGTATTTTTTTTTTCGTAAGACGATTACCATTGGAGTGCCTTTAAATTTAAATGAGATTCTTCGGGATCATTGGTAATTACAAGAATTACATGATTCGGATGCATTATTAATTGAGAGAAAATGTTGTTTGTTTTTCTGTTGGTCTAAAAATACTTGCCATTAGTGCATTGAAAAGGATTTGATGTTCGAATTTTTTGACGCCTAAAATCTGCTGAAACATGTCGTACAGTTGATCTTTCGATAAAATGAGTTCGCTATTGAGTGGTTGTTGCATTCGTGACGGTCGTTTGGAGTCTTCGTCACCTGTTCCCTTCAGAATGCAATCGAATTTTGCCATCCATGATGTTAGCACCGTTTCTTTGCTGAGACCATCGATTTCTGGCAAGGACCTGTTTTGTGAAAAATGCATGGAAAGTGTCACCCAAAAATAAATGTCACACGACGTCAATCGGTATTTTTGATAGCACAAAAACGGCAACGACGACAACAGCAATAATATTTACCTGACACGTTTTTCGATATTATTTCGAAACACTTCGCGGAAATCATGCTGTGAACAAGCGCCCGATTCGACCATTTTGACAACGCGTTCGGACTTAAGAAACACATCGTGATACGATTGTACGGCATTTTGAAACGCTTCGTCGGCCATGATTGGTGTGTCACCCTTCAGAAAGGCGATAAATCTCGATGTGATTGTTTCGAGCTGGTGTCTGGTGATCTTAATTTGGCGTCGCGTCATGTCGGTCGGCTGTTTGGCGTTAAATGGATATGCTATGCAACGTGATACAAACACATACAGTTGGATACGTCGTTTTCGGTCTTCTTCTTCGCGTTCCTGCCGCTCTTGAATCTCGCCTTCATTTTTCTCGCTCACAACGGACGGAGACGGTGACGTTGGTCGTGGTAAGGAATTAACACGTGATGATCCGCTTGACTGCTGATTCACTTTGTCTTGTGATATACTAGAAGGCGATAGATTCCTAAATGGGTATGTTTTTGTTGGTTTGTTTTGTGGTTGTGGTTTTTGATGGGAATGGATTATATTATTTTAAATGATGTGGGTGGCGGGCGGGAAAAAAGGTATTTGATGAAATGAATGCGATCGATTAATTTTGATTTTGTTTAAAAAAATTTCACAAAGACCAGTGTCACTCAAGTGTTACGTGAGTCATTGCGAAAAGCGAATGAAATAAAGAGAAGTCAATTCAAGTGGGTTTTAAATGCAAGCCATGTAAAAGTGTGAAATGAATACGACTGAGCATTGGTGGTAAAATTGATTTTATGACATTCACTCTTACCTAGCCATTTTCTTATTCGTTACGTCTAAATTACCGCCACCCGTTGAATAGTCGGCACTGCTGCCAGAGGCACTTTGGTATGGCCGTTGATACACATCTCTATTATCATCGTGTTTCCCCGCTGCTGCGCTGCCATCTGGTCCCATTGCATGATGATGTCCCATACTTAGGTTCGTATGCGATTGCTGATTGCTAGCTAAATGTTGCGGTGTAACATGACCTGAGCTACCGCCAATACTACCGTAATCAGATGCTGATGAATTGTGATGGCCGTGCATTCCAATTCCAGAACTTGTGCTACCGCCAAAGTTATTTCCTGAATATGCGAAAATTTATATGGAAACACGAGAGAGTGAAAAATAATTCAAAGAATGTGCCATATTCAAATGATGTAGACGCTCTCAAGAGGAGCGAGAGAGTTTGTGTTGGTGGAATAGGGACATAGACCGAGATGAAGAGAAAATGAACGAAAAAAAAATAACCAACAACAAAAACTTACTAAGCGTGCTTGCGCTGCTAATGTTTCCACCAGCCAAAGTTGTCGATGATGTACCAATCGTTCCATGACTGCTTCCGCTACCACCAGCCGCATGCTTTGCTGGATGATGGCGATGATGATGATGATGATGCTGTTGAGAGTGTGCAAAATATGTGCGAAATTCGTTGGTGTCGATTAGTTTTCATCAAAATAGACACACACACGAAGTTCAGGCATGGTTAATGCGATTGCATATTGGATTGTTGGCATTCAGACAACTTGAATAAATTCTTTACGGTCTATCATTTTAAATGAACGTGCTCGCACATACGTACGTACGTCATAAATGATAGAGCGAATATTTTTTTTTCTGTTCGCCAAAAATCACGTACGCTCTCGGCGCGGCCCAATCATTTAATTGGAAAACTACTTACCCCGGTTTGCTCTTCATCACTTTCCTCTTCACTTGAGCTTGGATCGATCATTTTGACTAGGGAATGTGTTTATTTGACAGCAGCCAATTCTAATTTGTATGCGCCGATTTGCAAATCAAAAAGAACAAACAAACCGAAAAAAAAGAATTGGAGCCACACACACACCACCACCACAAGCCAATTCCTCTGTGCGTGATCGTCGTTGTCGTCGTTATTATCGTAGCGTGGTCTGTGTGTGTGTGCCTGTCACAGAAATTCTTTCGTCGTCGTTCGCACCACTCAATCACAAGCACATGGAATCCGCGTTGCGTTTTATAGTTTCTCTCGATGCGGTTCGATCAATTCTTCTTGCCAATAATTTTCTTCGGTTCTACTCTGTGTTGCGATGCGATTTTTCTTCTCACTGGTAGTTTTTCGTTTGCAGTCGTGGTCGCCTCAATTAGATTTTCACTTATGACACAAATATTTTCAATAAAAAATATATATTGCTTTTTTGGTTTTGATAGGCGTTGGTTATTTACTAGTTGTGTATCGACTACAATACTATATATTTAAAATATTATCGTGTGGTGCTTCACGCCGCCTATTTTTTTTTTCTCTTTGAATTTTTCTAGCACGTTTCTACTCTGTCTGTTTGTTCGCACTTTTCCCGTCTATTCTTTCCTTTTTTCTCTCTCTTTCTTCAAAATGTACACGAAAAAAGGAAAATCTCTACACAAACACACGCAAACGACTATATAAACAATTTAAATGGTAAGAAAAATATAACATGTTTGCATTATATCCATTCGATTTGCTCTGAAACTGTAGTATTATAGTAGCTGTTGCTGTTGTAGATTTTATTCTTTTTTTTCTGTTGCTGCTGAAAATCGACAAAAGACAAGAACATGAAAATGATTGCATTATTATTGATTTTATTTTCCTCTCTCTCTCTTTCTCTCTCTCTCGCTCTGGCACATTTTATTGTACAAATTCAACAAAGTGGCCAGCACACAAGGCCTAAGAAACAACAACAACAACAATAGAACAAATAAAAATAAAATAAAACAGTAGTTCAGCGTTGTTCATAAGAAAATGCAATATTCGTTGACCAATGCTGGCCCCGGATATACAATGTATGTATGTAGTGCGAGCGCTCAACAATGATTTTTGATGAAAACATTTATAATTAATTCCACTTTGCGTTGTTCGCTGTTCAGCCAACGAAGCATTTTCAATAATTTTTGCTAGTTGCCGATTTCTTCTTCGTTTTTTTCTTTTCATTTTGTGTTCAAGTTGCGCGCTCGTTTCACTGAAGGACGACGAGTAAATTGTATTTTCCGATTTAGTCTGAAATAAGTGTGGAAAAAAAACAGCAAGTTTCGCTTCTCAATTCTCGGTGTCACTTGAACTGGAAATCAGAGAAATGCGTACGATTTTCGAATAATCGCACACGATGCGCGTTCGCTGACTCCTTCTTTCTCTATTTCTCTCACTGTGTGTCTGTCTTTTTCACTATCTCACACTCTATTTCGACCAATCACGACAAAAGAGTATATATCGAATGTACGACACAATTTTTTTTCTCTTCGAAATCGGATGCAGTGCACATCAGTGGACCATACTGTGATTGGCAATTGATGCGTGCACCACGTTAAAAAGATAAGAATGTTTTTTATTCGCCCATAAAAGTCCCATAAGTGATCATATTACTTAGAAGTGAATTGAAGCTCTCCGTCTCTCTCTCTCTCTCTCTCTCTCTCTCTCTCTCTCTCTCTATTCCCCACTCCTTGCTCTCTGTCGTTCCGTTGTGCTCTTTGAATTATTTGTTTTAATGGAATTCAGTCCCACTTGTTTTTTACAGTTCACTGCCTTTGCTAAAATCATTCGTCCTCATCTATCTATATATACACACCATTTTATACGAACTGTGTGGTGGATGGTGGTTGGTGGATATATACACTATATATTCAATACACACAAAAACATAAATTCGAAATAATTTTGTTTGCTCAATGGAAATGCATTGGCTGTCGTGCGATTCGATTCGATTCGATTCGTTTCGATAAAATTATCGTTTCGCCGAATTTGCAACGACTTATTTTTATACCAATCGCTTTTCGATAATTAGAAGTAAGTCGTGTACACGTTTATTCATTCATTCGAATTTTTCGGTTGCCATAATTTATACATGTCATTTGATTTGCTATTGCCAAGTGACTGCGAGCAACAGCAGCAGCAACAGCACCGAGTGAATGAACATTGGTACGAGGGGAGGTTGGGAGGTTGAGGGTTGGAAGTTGAAAGCAACACATTATCATAAGATTTAATTGTGTTCGTGCTTCAATTTCGTATCATGGTTGATTGTTATTGTTCATCTTTTGTGTGTGTGAAAAAGTGTTTGTGTGTTGCCTTGTTGCAACTAAAGATGAACTGTGAGCTAGATGAAAGCCGAACGGACGAAAAAAGAGGAAAAAGAACAACTGTACACACAAAGAGAGAAAAAAAAATGAACGAATAAAAATCACAGCTATCACTAAACTAAAACACCAAATATGTCATTCAAGATAAATGCTTTCTTATGAGTCGACGATAAAAATGGACGAGAATAAGCGGGGAAAGGAGAAAAAGCGAAGAAAAAAGTCGAAACAGACGAGAACGAGAGAGTGAGGTGAACAACGAACCAGCGATAGAATGAAAACTAGTCAAAGAAAATTGCGAAAATCGACGGAAGCAAATAATTCCATGTTTTATATCGTCAATAAAAACAATATTACACGACGACCTCCAATAAACCCTCATATAAATACATATACAGTATACGTATTTCATGCTTTTACATTTGCTCGTTCTCTCTCTCTCTCGCTCTTTCGTTACATAATGCACGTGCATGTGGATTTGTACACGTCGGTGCGGACAGCAGCAACACACACAAACTGCTCGCGGAAGAATATTCGATTAATTCACTTCCGAATCATCGTCACCCAAAACGAAATCCACCGAAATGTTAAAGGAGCAATTGAATGAGCGACCAGCTTTACAGGAAACAGAAACAAAGAGCCAGAGAACGGAGAAAAGTGGCGAGGAAGCGAGCGAGTGAGCGAACGAGCCGAAAAAAAGTTAGGAATAAGCAAAACAGACAGGGCACATTCATTAATTATTATTTGAACATTCCATTAATTTTTACTTTTTGTCAATGTGTGTGTGTGCGTGTTTTCACTGTGCTTCACTGTCGTCGTCGTCGTCATCGTCGTGTCACAGTTTGGTCATTTGTGTTGGAGAAACGAAGGGACAAAAAAAACGAATTATTCTACATATTTTCCGTATTACTCCCTTGATGAACGGAGATTCGTCAGAATGGAACCGACGGGTGGAAGCGACAGTTCGAACTTCTGGCCCTCTATCGACTTGATTTTGAAGCATTCTGTCATATTCAATACACGACACTTGACAGCCATTGACAGTTCATGTTGTACACATTGTTTACAAAACAAGATAGCAACTAGTGAAAATTAACTGATTTTCAGGACTGAAATCAATGAGTTATAAAAGGGGCAGCAAATTTCAAATGTATTCAGATTTATTTTAAATAACTTATTTAAACGTAAAAATCGCATAGCGGTCACCAAATCGAATATAATAGAAATTATAGCCAAACAAATGAAAGAACGTATTACTCAAAAAAAAGCCGATGTTAGTTCTCAAAAACAGTTGTAGAGGGCCAGAATGATGAACATACATTTCTATAGTTTCAGTACAGAAATACGGAATTGCTTCCACCCGTCGAATGGAACCAGATCCGAAATGGAAATGAACAGAGAAAACAAAATCAAAAAAAGTGTATAACGAAAATGAGAAATAAAAAAATGGAATGAAAACACTTTGCATAATATTCACATTTTCATGTTTCAACCGAACAGTGTCTCTAGCTCTCTTTTATTTTCAGACATGATATCTTAATCCCTCATTCACGGTGTGATTTCGAACATTCTTACGCAAGAGAGAGAGAGAGAGAGAAAAAAATCGAGAGAATTATTTTTGCGAATAAAGCGAAAAACCTTGTGCCATCATCATCATCATCGAGTTATGCGATGAAATGGAGGCAAAATCCGAAATATATGTGATAATCCTCGGGCGAGCCAGAAACTGTCAGCCAGCAAGACACAGCCACCCAGCTAGGAAAATTGCTTCTTAATAATGTCAACGCAATCGAATTAAACTCTCCCTCTATCCCACGCGAAAAACGACCAAAATCAAAGGTATTTATGCTTTTTGCATGAGTGGCTTGAATTTAAATCAATTTCGGGCGGCAAATACATTTTCTCTCATTCTCTACGCACCCGCCTGTGTCTATATATGTATATCTTGTGAAATGCTCCGCGAAAAAAAAACTGCTTTCAAAGTATCGCTTTGATATTGATAATTTAATTAAAATGCTTGTAGCCGCTTCAATGATGCTCTCCACTTTAATATAGATAGATAGAAAAGCATTCAGGAAAACTAATCATTTTCCATCGATGCCAACCACCCCGAACCGACAGAGATAGTTATTTGTAGCGACAATTTTACAAGCGCACAAAAGCTTACACGGAATGAACAACATTTACGATCGAAATTGCGGAGTGAATTCGTAAAATGCGGACTACTCTGCAGTAAAAACGTGCTTGTGATGATTCGAACTTTGGAAGAACGAATGTCTTTTTTCGGTTGTTGCTGTTGTTGTTGTTGTTGTTGAATTGAGCGAATTCAATTCAACGTTCTAAATTGGTTGTCATTGTAAGTCGTTGAAGCTTTCGTTCCGTTTAAAACAATTTAACAACATTTTTATTGGTGCAAGCGTGCCATTGCTTGCAATTGTAGATTTATAAATGCGATTACCGGGGAGAACATTTCAGCGCACAAGCGAGCAAGCATGCGAGCGCATGAATTCATCATGATTTAAATTCCGTGCAACCAAAGTCTTGTTGCAATCTAATGAATTTATTAATCTGATTTATTCGAAGCAAATGAAAACCGTTGCATTTAATTTTTATCCGCTTACACACGATTTTGTGAATCGGTTCTGGGTTCTTTTTTTCTCGCCCTTTCTCTCTCACTTTCACGGTTTGTGTCTCAACATTTGTTCATTCTCGGAAAATTCGGCGAAGCATTTCGAATCATTGTACGATTATAGACGATTTGCATATGGTCACACGCAAAAGGTGGTCTCGCGAGCGCTCGTCCATTGCCAATCGCCTACATACAAGAGAGCAGAGAAAAACACAACAGGCAACAATGAGAGAACAATAAGCCATAAGATATGCATAACAAGTGAACGATTGAGCTCTTTTTTCCCTCGTTGCGTGTGCTGCAGTCAATTCTCGCAGCCATTCCTATTACATGTATTGTTTTCTCTCTCTCTCTCTCTCTCTCTCTCTCTCTCTCTCTCTCTCTCTTCCTATTTAAATTTAGTGTTGGATTGAGAGTCAATGTGCTGCACATTGGCAACAGGATACACTCTATTAATTCATTATTATATTGAAATAAACGATGATGTGATGGGGCAAAGTGTGTAAGCCATCGGGTGGTGTATGTGGTAGCTGGGTTGTTCGTCGCTTGTTTGTGCGCTTTGCTGAGGTCAAGCGATGGCCCATTCATTCGGTTGCTCACTCGCTCGATCCTACGCTCAATCTTTCCATGGCATGGTAGCGACTCGCGTTAAAAATTTAAACAAGCGAGAAATTAAAATAAAATTAAATGAATTGAAAACATGTAAATTGTTTTAAGCAAATGCGTTTAGTCGCCCAGAGAACGAAAACAAGAGAGGGAGAGAGGGCATATAGGCCAGCGGAATCATGGAAGCGGTCGTTGTGATTATAGGTTTGAATTGTAATTGCATTC